CGCAACCTCCACCTCCTGGGTTCAGGCAATTCTCCTGCCTCAGCCTCCTGAGTAGCCGGGATTACAGGCACGCGACACCATGCCCAGCTAATTTTTTGTATTTTTAGTAGAGATGGGGTGTCACCATGTTGATCAGGATGGTCTCGATCTCTTGACCTCGTGATCCACCCGCCTCGGCCTCCCAAAGTGCTGGGATTACAGGCTTGAGCCACCGTGCCTGGCCCATACTTGATCTTATTTATTTATTTTTTTAGACAGAGTCTCAATCTGTTGCCCAGGCTGAAGTGCAGTGGCACCAGCTCAGCTCACTGCAACCTCTGCCTCCAGAATTCAAGCAATTCTCCTGCCTCAGGCTCCCGAGTAGCTGGGATTACAGGTGCCCACAACTGCCTGGATAATTTTTGTATTTTTAGTAGAGACAGGATTTCACTATGTTGGCCAGGCTAGTCTTGAACTCCTGATCTCAGGTGATCCCTCTGCCTTGGCCTACCAAATTGCTGGAATTACATGCATGAGCCACCATGCCCGGCCAGATCTCGTATCATTCTCACCACCATAATATGAGATGGGCATGATTCTCCCCATTCACTGGATGAAGAAACAGAAGCTTGAGAGGTTGCCTGACACTTCTCTGGAGGCCACCCAACTGGTAAGTAGTGGAGCCAGGTCTGGCTAGCTCCTTATCCTGGGTGCTGACAGTATAGATTCTGCCCCCCGCCCCCATGTTTGATGGGTGGGGGCGTGAACAAAGGAGAGGATACATAAACAAGCACTGAACAGCAACACCTCAGAGAAACTCAGGCTGTCAAACCCTTACTCGAAATCAGTATAATACAGTATGGTCCTCTGGTACTGATGCCCTGCGTTCATTCATTCATTCACTGGTTCATTCAAACTGTTTCTGAGCCCAGGCTCCATGCAGGACATGGGAGAGCTGGGAGAGCAGGGAATACCCTGGCCCCATGTCCTGCAGTGCGGTCCTCCTGGAGACTGGCTGGAGAAGGGGGCCAGGCCTGAGATGGACCAGGACTGCAAATCATCCAGGTCCAGGCCACAGGTGGCCAGGGAAGTACACAGAAGCACTGCTAGCCCAGAACAGAGAGCCAGGGCATGCAGCAAGGGCTTCCAGGAGGAGGCACCCTGTGAGCTGCACCTGGGAAGAGCAGGATTAGGACATGTACAGCAGGGGGCATGAGAATGCTCAGGCTGGGGAAGGAAGGGGCGGTCCAGACAAGGGACAGGCAAACCTCTCTGCTTCACAACAGCCGACCACCAGGGGCTGGGGCTCAACACTGGCACACTGGTGGCCCCAGGAAAAGGTGCAAGGTGTCCCCATCACAGCCCAGTCCTGGAAATCAGGAGGCACTCACCTCATCATCTGACTGCAGGTACATGTGGGTGAACTCCAGCAGCTCCCGCAGCTCGGTGGTCTGGTTGTGGTAGAGCATGGCCTCCTGGAAGGAGGGAAGGATGGGTGGGGGGTGAGCCATACCCTGCTGCCAGATGGCAAGAAGCCAGGGCTCCTAGGATCTGGGCCCACTGGCCCTCTTCCAGCTCAAGGATCAGGTATCAGCTCACAAGCTAATCAGATCATCGTGACTGCCTGGAGCACTGGGTTAAGGATTCTGAGGGTCTGGCGGGAAAGAATCCCTCAATCGATTAGCAATGTCTGCCACTGACAAGGAAAGCAGGAGTGGCACCATGTGTCCCGTATTTGCCAGCCTTGCCCTCAACTCCAAGGGGTTTTCTCAGTTGTTTACCTAGTAGGTTCCTGGGGAAGAGGGACAAAGGCCAGCAGTGAGGCTGATGAAGATGGGGAGGGGAGCAGGCAGGAGTGGACATGTACCTTCGCACCTCCCACATCTGGACACTGCTGAGGGGGGCAGTATTACCCCCATTTTGCAGGTGAGACAATAGATTTGGAAAGGGATATAGTCTTCCCAGGACCACACAGCAGTGGGGCTGGGCTCGAACCTCAACTCATATTCTTTCTTTCCATTTTCCATCCTGCCTTCCAAGGAAGCCAGGGGTTGTTTTTTTTTTGTTTTGTTTTTGTTTTTGTTTAGCAAACTGCATGTCCAGCAAGTGCCCCAGAAAGCAGTGCCCACCTCCCGGGGCTGGAAGTCCTCCTCTTCCAGACCCCAGCGAGCCCGGTGGAAGCGGTAATACACCAGGTTCTGCTGCATGACGCTGTCCTTGGGGTCGAAGAGCATGTAGCTGGCGGCGCTGCGGGCAGCCTGGCGCACATCATTCACTGCAGCAGCACAGGGGTGAGGAGTTGCTCTGGCACTTCCCCTTCAGAGTCAACCCCAGCTCCCAGTTCGGTCCAGTGCCCCTGCCACCCAGCCACCTCCCAGAATAGCTACTGGGCTCCTTACCCCACCCAAGCATAATGCCAGCTAGCATGTAGTGGGCACTGACCCCGCGACAGGCCCTAACTCATTTAAGCCTCACTGTCATTGTCTTTTTATTTTTATTTATTTATATATTTAGTTTTGAGACAGAGTCTCACTCAGTTGCCCAGGCTGGAGTGTAGTGGTATGATCTCGGCTCACTGCAACCTCTGCCTCCCGGGTTCAAGCAATTCTCTGCCTCAGCCTCCCGAGTATCTGGGATTATAGGCACCTGCCAACACGCCCAGCTAATTTTTGTATTTTTAGTAGAGACAGGGTTTTACCATCTTGGCCAAGCAGGTCTTGAACTCTTGACCTTGTGATCCATCCGCCTCAGCCTCCCAAAGTCCTGGGATTACAGGTGTGAGCCACCAAACCTGGCCTGTCTTTTTATTTTTGTTTTTTGAGACAGGGTGTCACTCTATCACCCTGGCTGGAGTGCAGTAGTGCCATCATGGGTCATCTCAGCCTTGATCTCCCGCGCTTAGGTGAGCCTCTCACCTCAGCCTCCCAAGTAGCTAGGACTACAGGCACAGGTACCACCACACCCATCTAATGTTTTGTATGTTTTTGTTTGTTTGGAGACAGGGTCTTGTTCTGTCACCCAGGCTGGAGTGCAGTGGTGTGATCTCAGCACTATAGCCTCCGCCTCCTGGGCTCAAGCAATACTCCCACCTCGGCCTCCCCAGTAGCTGGGACTACAGGCATGTGCCACCACTCCTGGCTAATTTGTTGTATCTTTATAGAGACAGGGTCTTGCCATGTTGCCCAAGTTGGTCTCGAACTCCTGGGCTCAAGCCATCTGCCTGCCTGGGCCTCTCAAAGTGCTGGGATGACAGGCGTGGACTACCACGCCCAGCCTGCCTTTTACTGTCATCCGCATTTTACAGCCAAGAAATCTGAGTCACAGAGAGGTTAGCTAAATTGCACAAGCTCACACAGCTGGAGAATGATTGCTCTAGGGAATTAGAAGCCCTCAACCTCTGGTATCTGTTCCCAGGAAGGGTCTCCCGGCCTCTTGGATCTCAGCCCCTCTGCTCAGATTCCCAGCTCTGTCTGAATCTTGGCATCTCTGAGTTATAGGAACACTGCAGGCTGTCCATCTCAGCCCTGTTGGATGCCAGAATCTCTCCAGTGAGGAGAGCCACAAGTCCTGGTGCCACTTTTTATTAGTCATGAGACTAATAGCCCCTTGCCGTCTATAAGCCTCAGTTTCCCCATCTGAAAAATTGGTCCAGCAATGCCAGCTGCATGGTTTTGATGAAAGGACCACATAAGTGCCTTGTAAACTCTCAAGTGTTGGTGGGGCACGGTGGTTCACACCTATAATCCCAGCACTTTGGGAGGCTGAGGTGGTGGATCACCTGAGGTCAGGAGTTCAAGACCAGCCTGGACAACATGGTGAAACCCCATCTCTACTAAAAATACAAAAATTAGCTGAGCATGGTGGCGGGTGCCTGTAATCCCGGCTACTCGGGAGGCTGAGGCAGGATTATCACTTGAACCCTGGAGGCGGAGGTTGCAGTGAGCAAGATCGTGCCACTGCACTCCAGCCTAGACAACAGAGTGAAACTCCATTTCAAAAATAAAAATAAACTGTCAGGCCGGGCGCGGTGGCTCAAGCCTGTAATCCCAGCACTTTGGGAGGCCGAGGCGGGTGGATCACAAGGTCAAGAGATCGAGACCATCCTGGTCAACAAGGTGAAACCCCGTCTCTACTAAAAATACAAAAATTAGCTGGGCATGATGGTGCATGCCTGTAGTCCCAGCTACTTGGGAGGCTGAGGCCGGAGAATTGCTTGAACCCAGGAGGCGGAGGTTGCAGTGAGCCGAGATCGCGCCATTGCACTCCAGCCTGGGCAACAACAGCAAAACTCCGTCTCAAAAAAAATAAAATAAAATAAAATAAAATAAAAAATAAACTGTCAAGTGCTCTGCAATTGTTGGTTGCCTAGTCATTTGCCCAAGAGACCCTCTACTTCTCCCTGAGGCTGCTGTCTGTTTCCACTCACAAGCCTCTCACCTGCCCCAGACTCTCAGGGTACCTTCCCCACGTCCCCACCACCCCTAGCCTTTTCTCCTATCATCCAGGATCCTCAATACTGAAGGAAAGCTCCCCACAATTCTGGGAGGCACCCATGCAGTCCTCTCCCTTATCACCTCTTCCCCTTCCCAAGCCCACCCAGGGGGCTCACACTTGTAGTAGGCAAACTGCAGGTAGTGGTACATGGTGGCCACGAACTTGTCCACGAAGTAGCCGCCCACATTGGGGGTCAAATTGGCCTCACAGTCCACCTTGCACTGCAGGGACTCTGCAAAGAGATCTGGGGGCAGGAAGGAGCAGTGAGATGCTGGCTTTGCCATGAACAGCTTCCTCCCCCCCGGTGGAGAAGACTCCAAATCCAAGCTCTGCCTACTGAGCCAGGCTGCTGGTCCAGAAAAGGTGCTGCTGTTGCAATCACAGGGGAGAGTGTGTGTACAGTGCTTGCCACTATACGACAAATGATGGTGAAGAAGATGACTGCGGGCTGAGCTGCCTCATCACCCCCACCACTCAACCACCACCCCAAGCCAGAGGGAGCCAGAGCATTCTGGGAGAACGGAGGTGAGGTCCAGAAGTGGGGCAGAAGTCCAAACAGAGAAGCTAAAGGACAGTCCTTTTTTTTTTTTTGTGAGATGAAGTCTTGCTCTGTCACCCAGGCTGGCGTACAGTGGTGTGATCTCTGCTCACTGAAACCTCCACGTCCCAGGTTCAAGCAGTTCTCCTGCCTCAGCTGCCTAGCTGGGATTACAGGCGTGCGCTACCATGCCCAGCTAATTTCTGTATTTTTTAGTAGAAACGGGGTTTCACCATGTTGGTCAGGCTGGTCTCGAATTCCTGACCTCGTGATCTGCCTGCTTCGGCCTCCCAAAGTGCTGGAATTACAGGATTGAGCCACTGCACCTGACCAAGGACAGTCCTTTCTGCTTCTGCTTGAGGGACCCCGGGGTTAGAGATCTCAAGACTAAGTATTATTTCTGGTTACCAGCTGCTTTCTGCCCACACCTGCTACTTCTCATCACGGCAGCTTTGCACCTGCACTGCCCTCTGTCTGGAAGGCCTGTGAACCCAAGCTTCCCAGACACTTTAGGGATATCACTGCCTCTCCACACTGATCCAGCCCCTTGGACACTCCCAGCTGGGGCCCCTGTACCCAGCGTCTTTCTTAGCAGACCTTGGGACAAAGCCTTCCTCCTGGCTGGCTCCTCCACATTTGCAGTGCTCCATGTGCAGGGAGGGCACATCTGCCTTACCGGGCCTGTGGGTGATTGGACCTCCACCATAGTCTGGGGGGGATACCTGCTATGGCCGGGTAGAAGTCCTTGAAGTCCACCTGCTCATGGGCCCCTTCACAGCCGGCCAGACACCGGGCAAAGACCGCCAGGTACTCTGCCAGGGCCCGCTCCATGTCCTCCGTGCTGCTGCGGAAATCCCCGCTGTTGTAGAGCTTCACAGCCCGGAGGAACACAGCCTGGAGGGGGCGTGGCAGAGGGAGTCAGGGCACCCCCAACATCCCCCCTCCTCTACAAGCCCTATCTGCAAGATCCTCCTCCTGCCCTCCACCCCACCTCGTAGGGCTGGGCCTCTAGGTCCGTGAGGGACTCGTCGGCGACGTCGAGCATCCCCCGGTAGTAGCTGAGATACTTGGCGGTCAGCTCGTGCTTCGGGTTCCTCTGGAGGAAGGTGTAGGCCGCCGCCACCGCCTTCTCCAGCCGGTTAGCCTGGTCGGGGGGTAGGGGGTGAAGGAGCGGGTCAGGAGGGCCGAAGTTCACGGCCCGGAGCGCACAGCGGGCTTCGTGTCCCGGGTGAAGGCAACGCTCCTCCGACCGATCGGTGGGGAGACCGGAGGCCCAGCCCGAGACGGGCCCCCGGGCGGGGGCGGACGCCCACCTTGAACAGCGCGTAGTGCAGGTACTGGTAGGGCAGGCGGCTCTGGAAGTCGCGCAGCAGCTGCCGCGGCGGGTAGGGCACCTGGAAGGCGGGCAGCGTCCGCTTGCAGCGCCGCAGGCAGGCGGCGCGCTCCAGGACGCGGCCGAAGAGCCGCAGCTCGCGGGCCCACTCGTCCGCGCGGCCGCCGTCGGGGCCGGGCGTGGGCGCGGGCGCGGGCCCGCTGCAGTTGGCGTGGCAGAAGGCCTCGCTGTCGCGCAGCAGCCGGTGCAGCCGCAGCGCCGCCTCCAGGTAGCGCGCGCTCTCGCGCCAGCTCTCGCCCTCGTACTGCTCCAGCGCGTGCCCGTAGGCGGCGGCCAGCGGCATCAGGTCCTCGGGCGGGAAGCCCCGGAAGCTGTACTTCTCGTACTGCGCCCCGACGCTGCCCAGCAGCAGCCACAGCAGCCCCCACGCCGCCCGAGCCATGCCCGCCGCGCCGCCGGCTCTCCCGAGCTGAGCTGGCCGCCCGGCGGACGGAAGGGGCCGGGGCCGGGGCCCGCGGCGCGCCCGCTGGGTCTTAGTGCCGGGCACGAGGGCGGCGCGGCGGGGCGGGGCCTGGGTCACGACGTCTCCCCTCTTTTTGCCCAGGGTCCGATAGTGTCCTGAGTCCTCTCCGTCGGCCCGGGCTCCTGCCTTGGGAGTGCCCCTAGGCAGAGCGTGAGTGGGGGAGCGCTTCCCGCCGGAGATGGGGAGCCCGGGAAGCCCCTCCCCGCGCAAACACAGTGCCCTCTCCTGGGATCGGGACCCTGAGCGAGGGCCTGGGCCACCTCCTCTGCGGTGCCCACGCGAGGGGGAAGCCCCGGAGCCGGGCATGCCGTCGCTGCGCCCTCCCGCACCCTCCGAGTGTCTCCCCGCCCACGTCGGAGGCACACACCTGCCGTCACCTGCACACCTTCCGCCGCCACCGCCACACCTTCCGCCGCCACCGCCACCCACTCCTTCTCCGTGTCCGTCACGTCCCAAGTCACAAAGTCCTTTTTGCAGTCCAGCCTTTGCGGGGCCAAGCTGCTCTTCCCTGGAGAGGCCGTCCCTTGGAGCACAGTTGGGCTTGACGGACGAGCACGGAGGTGCCACTCACACTCCGCGGCTTCACCACCCACCTGGAGGGGACTAGAATTGGTGGTGCCCGCGAAAGAAGCAAGGGTCGCCTCCGCCCGGCTTTAGGACCCGGGGGCTCCGGAAAAAGACATTGAACTTTTTTTTTTTCCCTTTGGTGTCCACTCAGACTTCTCATCTTTCCCGAGCCTCCCTCCCTGGCCAGGCCCCAGGTCTCGAAGCCAGGGTTGGAGATGGGGGGAGGGGGGACTCGCAGTTCTTTGTGGTGCCTCCCTCCGACTCTAACTTACTCAGCCTGGCCCCCTCCTCCTCTTGCACCCCGCCCCGCCCCTCGCCTGTCCAGCTCAGTCTTCCCAGCCCCCATTCCACGTGGACCAGCCAGGGCGGGGGTAGGGAAGGAGGACAGGAAGCGGGGGGAGCCAGTTCTGGGAGGCGGGGAGAAGGAGGTTGGCGGCGGCTCCCTCGCTCGCCCTCACTGCTGGCGGTCCCAGCTCCAGGCACCATGTTCCCCGCGGGCCCCCCCAGCTACAGCCTCCTCCGGCTCCCCGTGCTGCAGTTACTGCTGCTGGTGGTGCAGGCCGTGGGGAGGGGGTTGGGCCGCGCCAGCCCGGCCGGGGGCCCCCTGGAAGATGTGGTCATTGAGAGGTACCACATCCCCAGGGCCTGTCCCCGAGAAGTGCAGATGGGGGATTTTGTGCGCTACCACTACAACGGCACTTTCGAAGATGGCAAGAAATTTGACTCAAGGTAACCCGGGTTGGGCGCCCCGGGATTCACCACTCCATCCCCTGAACCCGGGGTCCTGTTTCCTAGTTGCCTCTTTGAAGCTCTGCATCGGAGTTTCGCTCTTGTTACCCAGGCTGGAGTGCAATGGCGCGATCTCGGCTCACCACAACCTCCGCCTCCTGGGTTCAGGCAATTCTCCTGCCTCAGCCTCCTGAGTAGCTGGGACTACAGGCACGTGCCACCATGCCCAGCTAATTTTTTGTAGTTTTAGTAGAGACGGGGTTTCACCATGTTGACCAGGATGGTCTCGATCTCTTGAGCTCGTGATCCACCCGCCTCGGCCTCCCAAAGTGCTGGGATTACAGGCTTGAGCCACCGCGCCCGGCCAAGGACCCCTTTTCTTTCACACAAGCTCTCCACATCCCGGAAAGGACGCGATAATCAAGGTGAACCGCCCTATGTAGTTAACAGGGCTGTATTTAATGGCATGATGGAGAGGGGTGTTCTGGTCTACAGTGTTGGGGGAAAGGTGGACCTTGCTGCCTAAGAATCGTGGGGTGGTCTATCAGCCTGGACCCCCTACTTTTCCACCCACCCTGACTCCCTTTTTGGCTCCACTCCATTTTCAGTGTCTTTGTGGTTAGAGAAGAGAGAATAGAACTTTTTTGGAGAGGGTGGGAGTTCTCAGCGGTCGGTGGGCAGGGACAAAGGCGGGTGGGCATTCTAAGAAGGCAGCCGGCTGGACCTGGGGGTAGGGCATGGCTCCCTGCGGGGACCCTGTCTGTCTACGTGTCGCACAGTTGGACATGCCACCCTGGGCTCCTCGGAGGAGTTTCACACTTTCCTCTCTGGTTCTCCTGGAACCCTCACCTCTCTCCATTTTAGGTAAATCGGCCAGAGGCGCAGGCCGCCCATTTTGCCAGCCTTGGGGTTTGTGAGGTGGCCTCCTGGTCTGATCCAGGACTCTGGTCTGCTCCAGCAAGTCCACTTTTGTTAGTGGGGACAGGACAGGGCAGTGTGCCAGCCTCAGGGGTAATCCTGGGGTCCCAGTTACATACGGACCCCACAGCACACTGAAAGAACTCAGCCTTAGACCCTCCGCTGAAACACACAACTCAGCCCACAGGAAGTTAGTGGCCCTGACTTTGGAGGCAGGCAATATTTTGGGGTAAGCATACAAACTCTAAGAGTCCCAAGACCCTGGTTCAAATCCAGGCTACGACCATGGACAGAGAATTTTGTCTCTTTAAGCATCACTTTCCTTATCTGGAAAAAAGAAGACAAAAACAGGACCTACTTGCTAAGGCTGATGTTAGGACTCGAAAGAGATGGATGAATGAATGTGGGCTTCTCACCGGGCCTGGCAGTCCTCCAGCCAGTTCAGCACACATTAACATTGACCTTGAGGAGAACCAAATGACCTGATGCTGTTTAACGCATAGAAACTTCATGCAGAGCTTAAGGCTTTGTAATAGCACTGGGAAGGAAACAGTCCAGACTTAAAACCTGCCCACTTGGTGGGCAAATCCACGTATAGGTAGTAGCGAGGAGCACATCCCTGAGCCCTTGAGTGCTGGGAGTGAGGCAGAGTTGGGATTTGGGGGTTGTCTTCCCTGGTAGGGACTCTGGGGGCCCAGCTCATGAGTATTGAGCTTGGAAAACTTTCTTAACCATGGCCCCTTCAATCAAAAAAAAAAAAAA